ATTTATTTTAGACGTTCAGTTTAAATAAAAAATAAATAAACAGAAAACAACATGCAGACCTTCATGCTTCATCGTTCTAATCTATTAAAATAAAAAGCTCAGAGAATGGCAGATTTACAATTTAATCCGATGATATCTTTTCTTATAATTAACTCTTTATTGTTTGATTAATTAACGAATAAATAACATCAGATAAATGAAACAATATTGATATGTATCTACTAAAAATCAATAATTATCATCTCATTTGTTATCTTTGAATAAATTATGAATTTATTAAAAATAATATGTCGATTATCTATATATGTTAAATTTAAAATAAGATTTATTTGATCAGCTATTATTATACTGATAGAAATGATTTTTCACGATTCCAAATATTTATTTCTTGTGTCTTTTTCTTATTTTTTGAATGATACATACAATCACCATATTAGATTGATAAAAGAATACAAATATCTCGGTAATGAAGTAAGAATCATTATCATAGAAAAAAGAAAACATTTACAACGAAAAAAATTCTTTTGAATTTTTGCACGAATTGATTGAAATTCTCTAGTTATGCTTGTTTTTTTTCTTTTCATGATGTTGAAAATGGGTTTATTGTTTATTCTCTTTTATAGGTTACATCCTATAAGTTTTCATTGTTTTTCTGCTTGCAATGCATTGCGACGAGCAGTATTGCGTTGTTTTTTTTTCTTTTTGCTGTTCTATATAATATGTAATCGACTGGAAGGAAGGAAATAAATCATGATGTTTGTTGTTTTTCTCTCCTGTTTTTTTTTTCTTTTCGTTATTATTAGCTTTGCTTCTTTTGCATTTAATCATAACGTAAAACTACACATCATCGACATGCAATACGAAAAAGGAAGTGAAAAAGTGGGTATGACAAATATATCTTACATACCTGTTTCAAGACCATTGTCATTAACTGAAGATCCTGAAATACAACGAACTCGAAAAATTCTTTTAATTATACTTGGCGTGTGTCTTGTAAGTTTGCATTTTTATTTTCATTATGATTCGATAATAATGACAAAAATCTTTTATAATTATATGAATATCAATTAAATATATATAGATTTAGAATTTAATCATAGATCGATATTAGGTTTTTTTTATTTAAATATTTAAACAAACAAATTCAAGTGTTTTTTGAACACGTTTTTTAAGAATAATAATTCATATATATATATATATATATATAATATAATCTTAATCATTTTGTTTAAATAAATAAAATGAATATAATATAAAACTCGTAACGATTAATGTTGTTGTTATTTGAGAAAAATTATATTTTTAAAAAGTATTATCAGTTTGAGTTTTGACATAATATTAAATATGACAAGAAATTTATTTGAATAAATACAATTTTATCTTTATCTATCAACATACACATAAAAATCGATTTGTTTGATATAAATCAAAAGATAATTTAATTAAATTGATAATAGTTATTATCTAACAATATTTATACTCTCAGAAATATTTATCCATAGAAATTCGAACGATCTCTTTTTTTAATTTATATTATAATTCTATATAATTTTTTTAGGCTTTTTCTGTGATCGGTACGATAAGTGCCATATCTGGAAATGGAATGTCTAATAGTATGCAAGAAACTCGACGTGGTACACAAATTGGTCAATCACTTATTTCACTTCTTTTCTATGGATTTGGAATATTTGTTGCTTATCGATATTATGAAACTGGTTTACGTGTGGTATGTTTTTTTATTTTTAATATTCTATAATTGATTTTAAACGAGATTTAATTTAACTTTAAAAGATTTTTAGAAGAAAATTTTAATCGATTTTATCTTAAGAAATAATGAATCGAATATTGTTTTTTTTTTTTAATCATATTAGTTATTTTTGATGAATCTATATAAGAAATCTCTTTCAAAATCATGTCTATTCAAAATATTCCTTTTGAATTTGTTCCAGTCTTTATGAGAAATTAAATATTTTTATTGAGATAATTTAATTTTTTTTTTTTTATTAAATGATCGATAATCATCGAATATTGATTGAAAATGTTAAGCTAACTAATCTAGTTGAAATATTTGACATTGATGTGACTACGATAAAAACTATTTAAAAAAAGTTAAATTAAAAAATCAGTTATATCTCATTTGAGAATAACATACAATTAATAATCAAATCATTTCTAAATTTAATGTCCTGTCACATCTTCATCAAACTCAATACTTTTTCATTTTTTATAATAAAAAAAAACATTTGTTTACTAAAAAACTAATACTATGCTTATATATATGTATAGTGTTAAGTCAAATCGAAATTGTATTCGACGAAGAACTTTCTTGCCAGTTAGTCTTTGTTATTATTCGTGATCAAAAAAGTTGACAAAACAAATCAATATCAAGATGATAGGATCATGCGAAAAAAAAAATCTATAAAAAACGACTGTGTATAGTTTCAACTGTTTTGAGATCTAATATAAACGTATTGATATTCGAGATTTCTTTAAAAAAACTGGAACAATATATTAGTTGAATAGTTATTCAATAAAATGTTTCTATTAAAACTGATATATTTTTATTCTACATTTAGTTTGCTTGGTTGGGTATAATTTCAATGGTTCTATTTGGTATTGGAATTGTAATTGTCCTCATTGTTCTTCTCGCAGCTTCATCTATCCTAAAGATGAAGGACCATGTTGACAGCGAAGGTCTTATGATTGGTCTTTCAATAGGTATCTTCTTTGCTGTTCTTATTTGCATTGCTTGTTTGATTCTTACAGTAAGTTTTTTTTATCGCATTCACTTATGTTTATCTTATGCTTATATTACCTTTTAGATAATCATTGTAAAATTGTCTTTCAAGTTGGCTAAATTGATTGAATCAAAAAAGTCTTTAACTATTCAACAAATCTAACTTTTATTTTACTCGACATTTTAATCATTTGAACTTCTATTCAGCTCATTTTTTTTTCTAGTTTCTCATTTCTTTCTTTTCTTAAAACCTATAAATAAATGCCAGAGATTCTTTTCCTTATCGATATATAACTGAATAGAATAATTATTTATATATTTAGATTATCTCCCAAGACAAATATCAGTCTTTTCTATTTATTCAATAGAATAAATATGGCTAAAACTTTCTTTAAATATAATTAACATGATGAGTATCATTTATGGAAAGAAGCAATCAAATCAATTGATTCACTAGAATATTAAAAGACTAGAAAAAAATATCGTGTAATTATACTTACAGATTTATTTTTATGCTGCTTTTTCATGACGATTTTTAAACTCAAAAAATTCACGAAACTTGAGAAGACTATAAAATTCTCAGAATTGAAGCTGTCCAAGGAACTCAAGAAATCTTAGGAACATAGGAAACGTGAGGTAATTAGGTATAGATATGGGCGATTCTGATTGTTACAAGTAAAAAAAAACAAGAAAAACTTGGCATTGTAAATCTTGTCATGCAAGATAATGCATTTCGTTATTTATTATTTAACAAAAAGTTAAAATCAATAATTTAGATGTATATGTAAACAATCACTTACTATACAGAAAAAGAAGGTAGTTCTAGCTCTATTTAACAGAATATGCGTTCTATTCAATTGTCTACGTGAGAAATTTAGAATTATCGAATTCAGAATTAGAACCGATGCTGAAGATTACGATATCATTCGAGAACTAATTTCAATTCCAAAAACAAACGACTTTTGCTATTCCTACTCAGAGAACTAGAATAATTCAAAGAATTCTCAAAAACTCCACTTTCAAAAGTTCCAATATTTCAAAACTCAAGAAGCTCGGTGATTGATAGGAAATTAAATCATTCAAATTCTCAGAAACTATATGCTCATTTAGTAAAAATCTATTAAATGAATCGTTAATGTCTCAAGCAAAAAGTAATTGGACAGTTGACTGATAATGTTCTCTCTCGTTAGATCTAATTATGGATTATTCGATATTATTTCAGTATGTAATAGCTAATTCCTGAGTTTCTTCATCTATGGATTCGTTTGAATAAGAATATTTCAACATATCTCTATTAATAACGCATGTAACTCTAAACCAGACCTATTAAGATAGAAATAAATAGAATATTGATTACATATTCTTTTCTACATATAAATATATAGAATTTCATTTATGTCATAAATGCACAATAAAGAGCACACTTTTATTAAATACATTTTTTATTTCAATGCTAGAAAAACGATATAGTATATCTATAACTGTAAATCTAACGGACATATTTTGAAAAAAATATGATGAGAGAGAGAGACAAAGCAAAACAAGAAAGAGTCATAATTTGACCAGTATCAATACAGGCAAGCACACTAACTCATTTTTACTTCAGTCGAGACTATAACAATTTACAAGATGTCAAATTAGTTCACTGAAATTTTTCGGTCTAGTGTTTTTCATACACATCAATCGAGATGTTTTCCTGAAACAAGCATTTTAGAATAGGATTAGATTTTATTATAAATAATTACGCATATATTTCCGACATCATTTTAATATTGTTAGCATGCTATTACATAACAGTATAGCATAGTCTTTATTTATCTTCTACATAAACTACGGTTTCTCATGCACGTTTCAAACTATAAGAAGATATTACAATACATATATTAATCATGGATTAGACATTTGTAAACAACGTTTGTAATGATGTCTCTTTTTATTCGCATGATTACAAGCTAAAACTAGAAAATAAAAATATAATTATTTGTGAATTGCTCTATGCAGATGAATGACATTAACTTTTTTGCATTATTTTTATAATTATAATTATATTGATTGGAAAACAAAGAAAAATACAATTGACACTTGTTGTTTTATTTTACCAGTTTCTAAAAAAATTAAAAGTTCAATAGTTTTAATAGGCTCGTTTCTATTTTTGTTTTCGATTGTTCAATAAAAATAAACATAGTTTATTCATATAATAAAAGTTTTTTTGCACGAATTCAAAATAGTTAGTTATTCATTTTCGCTAATGATTTGTTAATCTTCAATGAAGATTACTTCCAATATAAATAGTCCTTTTAATTGATTGACGTGATTTAGTATTATCAATATCTTTGATATATTTATTTCTATCAAGTATATTATCACAACCTTGTCCATCTTGTTTAATACCAACAGTAGAATAGTTTTCAAGATTAACTTTTCTTAATTGTTCATAACTAAGAGGTTGACGTTTTTTATCCATAGAAATATTCGAAATTTTATCTAAGATTTCTTGACGTTTCGCTTTAGTAGAACATTCTAATAGACGAAGAAATTCAGTTTTAGCATTTGATGTTTTTATTGATAAATCTTTAATATTATCGTGTGAACTTATAAACACAATTTCTTTTTCAGTTTCCATTTCTTTTTGTAAATCATCTAAATGCGTTGACATTTCAATTTCTAATTTAACAATAAATTCTTCAATTATTTTATTGATAATTGTTTGTTCCTTGGATGATATTTGAGAATACCGATCATGAAGAATTGTATCAGCTATTAAACTTATATCGTAAAGACTTGATAAATATATATCAATATCTTCTGATACAGATGAATTAATACAACCATTGAATTCTATTTTCAACGTCTGCAACAATATCTGATGAATCTTCATGAATAAAATAGTTTTCTTGTTAACTAAGATCTTGTGATATTTTCTGTTGAAGTTTAACGTTGATTGAAAAGTTTGTTTGTAATGAACTTGTATCACTTGATTTAAACTATAAAACAAAATAAAATTATTTTGATAGTTTTTCTTTTTGCTTCATTTAATCAACGGAGAAATTTGAATAGAATTAAATTAAACGAAAATGCATATGATAGAAAACTGATTTAGTTATTCTGTTGTAATTTAAACAACTGTACTCGATTCAACAATCGAACTGATTCGACGAGACTAGTATCTCTAAATTGTCTTTCCCTAATTATGTGTATGTTATTGAATTTTCATCTTCTTGCAAAGAATTTGGGAAAAAATCGAACTATGGAATATTAATATGACGTTTTACTCATAGGAAGATTTTTCACAACTTCGGAAACTATAAAAATTTCGTCCGAAAATATGTTTTTGTTGACCTAATGAATATTGAAAACATTAAACTTTCTTATAAAAAATTCTTGTTTTTGAATATTTAATATGTGACGAACAACATATCCTTTTCGGCTGAAATTTTCAAGAGTCTTAGGTTCACGAGATCTACTTATCGGCAAAAAATAAGTTCAATTATTGAGTCATACTTGAAGATGTTCTATGATAAAAGATGTTACTTATTCTATTAGATAGTCATTCCTCTTAACGATTTTTTTACAAAAAAGATTTTTTTCCAAATTTTAATTTAAAGATAATCAGTATAAAAAAAAGATTAAATTATACAGTAATTAAATGCAACTAGGATAAAGTATTTTATAAAGTCAACGACAATCATTGCTTATACAATGCTCTTTTTATTCTTTTAGTTTTTGCAGCTCTCTATTTTCCAAATATGTGATAAAAATAAATTAAAATTTTTTTCTCAAAAAAAAAAGTTCATTTTTCTTATTAAACGATAAATATTTAAACAAAATGAAAATGAAATGAAAATCATATATTACATCAATGTTAGCATTGACAATGAATGAAAAGTCGACATCTTGCACAATTTGATCTAAACTGATCATATCAATGATTTCTGTTGAGTTATGTAACAATAATGGTGATGTTGATGATGTATGAATGACTTCGAAATCTTTATTATGAAAAAAAAAACCATAGTTATTAGAATTATGAATAATATTTACCTTTAGGTGAGGCTGATTTTCTTCTTGGTGATGGTATCTGAGTAAGTTGGTTTCTTGTCTCTCGACTTGAACCTGAACTCATCGAAAATTATTATCTGGAAAATAATAATCAAAATTATTCTCTTATATATAGTACTAATTATTAAAATAAATATTTAGTAAAAGCGGAAAAAAATCTTATCTTTGTTGAATTTAAATCGTTTTAATTTGTCGAAAATAATTTATTTGAATTTAATTAATATTTTAATTTTGTTAAAATCTTGTAGAACATATTGTTTTCTTTTTTTTCATTTGTTTCTTTCATACACCAAACATAAATGAAAATAACTATGAAAACATGTTTCATTGGCATTTATAGAAGTACAACAATAATAAATTTAAACACATTATCGAAGAACAAGAACAAATATTTTGTAGAATTTTTTTTCTTTCAATATTCAAATTCAAACATCAATCAAAAACAATTGTCTTTAAAATTTCATTGTTCACTATTAGATAAATCACTATTCTTTTATCTTTGCTACAGAACAACATCCGTACAGAGTCACTGGAGATGTGTCGAACCAAGTTCTTTTTGGTTTTGAAAACTTCTGTTCTGCTAATCCTGCTTATAATCTAGAGAAAAATTTTTCGAAATTTATTCCTATCATATATGACACAATTCTTCAATGCCCGTTCTTATTTTTTTTAATTTAATTTAGTCGAAGACTAGCACTTCTTTTTATTGATCTCTCTTCAATTATATTCGAATTTATATAATTTGTAAGATAATTTTGCTTTAAACTATAAAATGTTTCATTATCAAGTAAAGTTTGGATTTCGTTAAAGTTTTATTTATTGATTTCGTACATTCCTAAGGGTGTGAATTACGATTTGTGCAGTATAATTTCAAATAGAAGGGTCGATGTTTTTTTTAATTTAGTGAAAGCATAAAATAAGACTTATTTCAATTCTAATTTTATTTCAAATAAGAACTTAACTGAAACGTAGACAACATATATTAAGTTTGGTCGAGTTATGAATCACTGCGTTCTAGAAGGATGTGGATCGGAATCTAGACGAATAGAAGATTCACATTCGAACCCATGATATTCATTTCTTCGGTATTCATACCATATTCGATTATTTCTTTCTGCTTTCAAAAGTAGTATATTCATTTCCATCATTTAAAGAGTATCTGAAATATATCGATCTTAATTTTGCAAGTATAGCAAAAGTAATTACTCAAACAATATAATTCGTCATTCACTATTAATACACGTGTATAATTATTATACAACCAACAACAACAAATAATTATAATCGTTGATTTCATTTGCTCGAATACAATCAATTTATTGTACAATAGGAATATTTAATAAACAAAAGGCAATTTAGTGATTTATCCGTTTTTGAAATATGTATTTATGGTAAGTTAAAACAAGATATTTACATTTGTGATTATTCCTGTTCTATTGTAACATCCTTAGATAAGAGATAATTAGTTAGTATATTTTCTTTTTTTTTCACTGTTGGTCAATAAAATAGGACAAATTTCTTAGTCTCTACTATCCTCTACTAAATGAGACGTACCTAATCTTAAACCATCCAGCTACTCCTGAAATAATATCAAAATACTGAACATATCAATTCTTAGGAATGATTAAAGGTTACAAAATCGAGTCTTCATACTTGTTTTAGCTCGCATTTCTTACAGATAGTACCAAATAATTTAATCTTTTGAATTTCTATGTGACTTATCTATATCTTCTATTTAGGAGAACGAAATTAAAAATGTAAAGCTTTTTCCTGACGACCTACGTTACAAATCCTCTAATAAGAGTATTGGTGAAAGTACAACTTCAATAGCCTTTTGGAATAATCAAGGACGCAAGATAACACTGAATTTTGTGCCATCGATGAGCAGTGAGAACATAATTGAGATGAGATTTTTCTTTAAACTGAAGTGTAATCTAGTATGATTTGATGCTTCATCTCGCAAGGAATCTGAATATAATCGTGTATTGTATTTTTAGGTCTGTTTTAATAAACAAACTACGCAAAAACTGCAAGGGTGTGGGTGTGGGCGTGGGTGATCGAGGAAGAATCCACATACACACCCACACCCACACCCACACCCACACCCACACCCACACCCACACCCACGTCCACCACCACACACCCCATAACTAAACAATAAATATTTGTATCTTCAATGGCTACAATAATGGACGGCTCATTATATTTCGATGCTAAACAACACTTTGAAAAAAGCATTCACACGGCTTTCTTATGCCTGTCTAGTGTTGTTCAGAATCATCTCAAATAACAATAGCATTCATGAATAAAATGTCACACAGATAATCAGCTGAACACTAAGGACATGCACAATGTCGCTAGTGTCGTCGCTCAGATTTATAACAGGCTGACTCACATATCAGACGGATGAAATAATTAAAGTGACTTTTTTGAAAATACACACATCAAGATATCTATTGGTTTAAGCGCATCTATAATACCAACTAAAGGCCTGTTAAATGCTTCTACCAAAACTCTTATTATCAGGTCTATTATGCATTCAAACACTTTTGCATCACTCACTTCAAGCTATTTCGTACCTTCACAATCCTTCTTAAAACTATACATACTGTTGTCTATTGTCTGCTATCCTTTACAACATAATCCAGCTCCCCCTTTATTCGTTAGATCTGTTCCAGCTGTTGTAATCATCATAATTGTTGACATAAACTAACATGGCATATTCTGCATTCTATCGAAACTGATCGTGGAAAGAGCTTCAGAATACAAGAAACTATATATATGCAGTATTACAGTTGATGTAATGAACTCAATGGAATGTTAGGACTCAACTTTTGAATCTGAATAGCCTTTTTTTCGAACATTTCAAAACAATGGCTTATATATCATTCAATGCAGAATTGAACGGGCTACCACATGAGCCAGTTATATTATTGGTAATCCCTTTGTGACATAGACGTTTAATCAAGATACTGAAAGAAAAGGAAACTTTCTAGGCTGAAAAAACACTGTATTTCGAGCTTTTTGATTCTATAATGGTATGAACAAGAGATGTCACATATGTACTTTTGTAGAGCAAGTTGAGTTGTATCAATTAGTATATGGTTCAACTAGAAAGATGAAACTCGGTGAAGAGAAAGAAAGAGACATTTGAGATGAAGCTATACATAAAATGACTAAAATATTGTATGACCAGTCTATATTCAAATCTGACTATCTTAGCTTTTGAACATTTTGAAACAAAGCCAAATATATTATTCGATGCAGAATTAAATGGGCTACAAAATTGAAACAGAATTTTTCTGGTAATCTAGTTTTGACCAAGACATATGAGCAAAACACTGAAAAAAGAAGGAAATTTTATTTGCCGAAAAATACTGTATTTTGACATTTTCACTTCTGTATTGAGGTTAAGGAGACATGTCACATATACAGTTTTGCAGAGCAAGTTAAGATCTATCTATTGGTATATAAACCAATTAGAAATATAAAATATTTCCTAGAAAAAAAATTACAAATACGAGTAGGGTCTGACACTAAAAATAGGTAAAACATGGTGTCAGCGGCCGATATTCATGCTGGACAATCTGACTGCTCGAACGTTTTGAAACAATGTCTAATATATGATTCGATGCAGAACTGAATGGGCTACAAAACAATATAAAATTCCTTTTGGTGATTTGTTTCTCTCCGACACATAAAGCCGAAATAGTGAAAAATGGACCAAATTTTATATGCTGAAAAATTAGTTTTTGAACTTTTTCGATTCTAAATTGGAACCAGAGAGAAACACCATATATATAGTTTTCTAGGGCAAGTGAAGATCTATCGATTGGTATATGACTCGATTTGAATAGTGAAAAATTTACGACCAAAAAATTTCAAAAAAAATACAGGTAAATTTTTCACACTTTTTGGAGCTATTTTTGAGGGTGTCTCTGATCAGACAGCCCTAGCGAACCGGGGGTAAATCTTTAGAACATAATATTTTGGATTCATCTATGGTAGATGAGGCCTCAAATTTCTAGGGGGCTAAATCCCAAATCGGTTGACTCCATGTTTTTCGATATTGGAAAATATTTGATTTTTTCGTGGAACGCCTCCTAAAAAGATGATTTCAATACATTGAAAGGATTCAGGGAATACCCATTCAATGTAGCAAACACAACGTAAACTAGATGAATACAGTATATAAGAATTATATGTTTGTTTATATCAATCAGTGATATTCTGTAATATGTTGGTCATAAAATTACACTTTTTGTTTTTTTTTCATTTTAGTCACATGTTTTAAGTCCAGACTCTTTCTGCATAGTCTAGCTCGACATCTTCAATTATGGAAGTTGTTCGAGACCAAAAACAACCATTCCTACAATGTAAACAATAATCAACAACGAGCTTTACTATACATATTTGCAGTCCATCGCATTAAGAAAAAGCACTCTCGTGTCGCCACATTTTTAACAACTGCATCGCAGGTGTCCGTAATTACGGATCTCAGTGCGATCGTAATCGAACATATGGACTAGTATAGACTCCAGGAAAATGTGTAATATTTTTGAATTACAATAACTAGAGATGTCGAACTTTCGCCATGTCATAGAGGATTCTGTGGACTATCTTTTACATATTTAGAGCTGATAAGTCACTATAAAACTTACGGTAACCACGTTCACATCTTTCAAAGATCGATAATGAACATTACCTTAAAAGTCGATGTTTTTCATCTTCTATTAGTAGAGATCGATAGAGTACTCAAACCCTACGCAATAATGAAAATCACAGATTTATATCTCTTTTTGTTCTCGAGTTATTCAACAAATAGTCACACACACCGACTTTTTGGATGGACTCTAGTTAGATGATGTTCTGACGTTTTTCTGTATTAAGTTTCAACAGTTCCCACAGACCTGTTTTAATAGTTTTTTCCTGAAACTACTACTGTCAGAAACTGTCATTAAACTACATAGTTTCACTTATAAATACAAACCAATAAAATAATAAGAATAATTTTCCGATGGGCATATCTGTTAAAACTCAATACCCGATCATAAACAACTAATA